TCAACATCTCTGAAAGTTTTAGTTTCTTTACTTATAAAGCCATTTATATCAAATTTAATCCCTTTTAGTTATTTCATGACTTATATTCTGTTTCTGAAGCCAGTTAATCCTGAATATAGACTATCAGATTCCTTCCCTAGAAAACCTTCACCCCTTGGAGTTAAATGGATAAGAGTTACTATACCTTCCTCGGCTAAATCATCCCTTACCATGAAGAAGAAGAAATCTCATCTTCTGTGGCTTTGACTCTCAAACTTGCACATTAAAATCTCATCAGAGCTTTAAATGAACATACCAGTGACTGGGGCTGTGTCCTGGACCAGTTAAATTAAATTCGCTTCAGTGGAACTGGCATTAATTTTTTTTTATTAAGCACCCAGGCAATTCTGCGGTGCATCAGACTTTTCAGTTTGACTCCAGCTCCCTGGTGATATACTAATCCCACTGCCTTTATCATTGTGTCTGACCAAGGACAGGGCTCTACAGAGGCTTTTTTTTTGTTGTTGTTAATAGAGAGTAGTTGGTTGAAAGAGCCTTAGGAAATAGACTTTTGGACAGTTTGATGGAGGCCTGTGGTAGCCAGAGTCTTAAGAATGGGGCACCCCTTGTCCACTGGGCCTACGATCAACCAAAGGACACATGAAAGAAAAAAAATAGTTAAGACTTCTTACATGAAGGGAGGAAGAGAGTGGCAGTCATGCAGGGTTTATTTACTCATTCTTGTTTGATTGTTTTTAGGTCACATTCTGCTCTTAAAGATCAAAGAAGAGAAGACACAAGGATGTCGGTAATGTCATAATGTATTTCCTAAAGTTCAGTTACCTCCCTAATGAAGAAATAATACAGCTAGAAAAAATTCAGTCGTTCTGTTCTGAATTTGTTATAGCAGTGTAGTTTTTATTATCTCTGTGTGTTAAATAGGTCTTAAACTTACTTTGAAAGGAATTTTACATTTAAGCGGAAAGCCAGCGTTACTGGTAACAGAGTAGGAAAGCCCCCAAATGCCATGGAAAATACAAGTGTTATCATGTTGAACTGTTTTCAGTTAGGCTAGATCTTGAGCCTGAGGACTATTTTTGATTTGGTAAAGGTTAGTGCGCCTAAGGTAGGTGTTTAAAACCCACTAGTTTTTAACTGGAGTCCTGTTTTAGCGTTGCATGATAATGCACTAGGTTGCAAGGTCTGCTTGTGAACCTCAAGGCCAGCAGTTGAAACCCATCAGCTGCTTCTTGGAAACCCCAGACAGAGTTACTGTGAGTCGTAACAGACTCTACAGTAGTAACACCACCACCAACAGTATCTAACTGGAGTTCTAGAGTGGAGTTTTAGGATAAGCAGTAGACTGTTAACCACAAGGTTGATGGTTCAAACTCATCAGCCGCTCATCGAAAACCCTACATAGGATTACTGTGAGTCACAATTGACTAACAAAATTGAACAATAACAGTAACTAACCAGGAGTCCTTGCCTGTCTCAAATGAAGTGTTTTGAGTTCTAACTTATAAGTTACTGCTTTTAACCCAACCAGGGGTGCCTGAAATAAAAGGCCTGGGTAAATAACTATCTGAGGCTTAGCTTGGAATAACTTCTGAAGTGCCAAAGAAATTAATAAAGATTGTCCTTGTTAGAGACAGTGTTGTTTAATGACTAGTGTTAGTACCCATGTACAGGTCAATGTAGCAGCATTCCTGTGCTCTGTCTTGTTGGCAGTCTTAGTGCTCTGCATTTGTAGTCAGCTGTCCTTAAGTTATGTACGTAGTCACCACACGCAGCTAGAAACTTAAAGACTGGAAGTTCAGCCCTATCCACAGGTGCCTCAGAAGAAATGCCTGGTATTCTACTGTAGCTCCGTTGTAATCCTGTGGAACACAATTCTACTCTGGGACCCATAAGATCACTGTGACTCAGTGGATTTCAGGGCAATTGACTTAGTCATAGTTAGTGCATTAAAACCAAAAAGTATAACGAATGTGAAATAAAAAGTCTCCTCTAGCAATGCTTCTGAACCTCTACAGCCCAGTTCTTGAATTGACCCACTGTTGAGTTGTAAGAACTACAGAAACTTGGGTTCCCTCCCACAGATACTCTCATTCAATTGGTCTGAGGTAACCTGGACATTGGGACTTCAAAAAGTATCTCCCCGCCCACTTCTGGGTGATTCTAATGTACAACGAAATATAAGAATCACTACTGTAGATAACTTTTGCAAATAACTTTCAACAGCTTTTAGTATAAAATCCTAGAAAATTGCAAGACCTTGCTGTAATTTTTTAAGTGGGTTCATTAAATGATTGATATTTACTATATTTACCAAACACAGTTCTGAAGAATTCTACACCAATTATTTTAATTTTTCGTTAAATTAAAAAATAAAACAAGAACAGGAAAACAGAATGGCATTTCTTTAAAAAGTTAGAAGTAAAAATATATAGAATCCAGTAAAAAGTATGGAAAGAACTTGAATGTCCATCAGTCAGTGAATGAATAAACTAACTGTAGTACCTACATCCAGTGGGATATTAAGCAATGTTCACGATGAGTCTGTGAAGCGTCTCTTGATATGAGTGAGCCTGGAGAACATTGTGTTGAGTAAAATTTTAAAAAACACAAAGGGAATAATATTGTAGAAAAGTCAAAAGGTTTTCACACCAACAGAAACATTCTTTGATGATTACCACGGGTAGGAGAGGAAAGAGGGTAAATCAGTAATTAGAGGGATGTTGTTGTTTACTGCTATCCTGTCGATTCTGGCTCATTGCCATCCAGTACAGGATTTCCGAAGAGCTTCTGGTGAGTTTGAACCACCGACCTTATGGTTCAAACTAACCTTGGGGTGGAATTCTTATCCTGTCAAACCCCACCATTAGGATTGCAAAAATTAGTTCATTTGAAAGAAAAAAGAATGATCACCCATCTGAGATGTTCTGGGTCATGCTATCATAAACAAGTGTGGAGTTGGTCATCACGCCATCTAACAATGGTCTTAGGATCCATTCCAATGCTCAGGTATGCTCCAGAGTGGGCACTTTGCGTGCTGGAGGATACATAAGACAGTCAGGTGATATTGTCATCAGTCGGTTTGTTGACCCTTCCTTATAGTCCTTTGTTGTTACTGGCTCTTTATAAGCTGGGTCTGATTCAAAATAACCCCATACACAAAGACACTGCCTGCTTCTTTGCCAGTTCCATGATTGGTTCCTGATCCGAGCTTTGTGATCCATAAGGCTTTCAATGGTTGAGTTTTGAAAGCATATCTGCAGGCCTTTCTTCCTAGTTCTTCTTAGTTTGAAAACTTCGCTGAAAGCTGTTCAGCATCAGAGCAAAGCACAAGTTTCCACTAACAGACAGGTAGTGATTGTGTGAGGTTCTTTTACAGGAACTCTTGAATGGAAGGTGAGGTGAGAATTATCCTGAACCTCTAAAGCTTTAGAAGACTTAACCTGTCATAAAACGCTTTGTTAATAACTGCATGCTGGCACCCGGTAGAGGCATGAGGATCCTGCTCAGGGCTCCCTTGGGGTACAACAGACAGAGCTCAAATAGACAATGCAGCTGTATTTTAAAAAAATGCTTTAGAAAAGAAATGAAAATAAACTGTATTCAAATTGAGCATAATTCTTCATAATTATTTATGTTAATAGCATTTATAAAAGGAATATGAATAACAACAGAAAAGGAGGAAAAGAAATGGAAAATTACAAAGTGCAATTGAATCATCTACCAGAATAAACTCTAAACTTTTATACTCGAGGCTTAGTTGCAAAATTCTTTAACTTGGTTAAGCCTGTTTTATTTTCGTTTTTCTGAGACATAGACAATCATTTCTTTGTTGTCCCCATCCCTAAAACAATTACACTTTTTTGTCGCTGAAAGTGGCATTTGGAAGTTTGGTGTTGGCAAGATGTCTTGGGGTCTCATCTTTGGGAAGATAAATTAGAAATGAGGCCCTTTTAGATACCATGGTCTGATTCAAGCCATGGTATTTTCAATAATCACATATACCTGTGGAAAGTTGGCCAGTGAATAAGGAAGGCTATAGAAGAATTGATGCATTTGATTATGGTGATAGAGAAGAATATTGAAAGTTCCATGGGCTGCCAAAAGAACAAACAGATCTGTGTTGGAAGAAGTATAACCAGAGTGCTCCCTGGAAGCCAGGATTGCCAGACTTGGTTATCAAGAGGGACCAGTCACTGGAGAAGGATATTATGTTTGGTAAAATGGATTGTCAGATAAAAAGAGGAAGACCCCCCAGCAATGTGGATTAGCACAGTGGTGGCATCAACAGGCTCAAGTGGAGCAAAGACTATGAGAGATTATTGAGGTACCGGACAATGCTTAGTTCTGTTGTGCCGAAGGTGGGTCACTGTGCATTGGTACCAACTCGATGGCACCTTACAACAACAAGATAACACTTCATTTGCAACTATCATGAAACCTGTGAAAGCTGGAACTTAAATGGACTGCCTTGTTTTTCTGAGGCTTGAACGTTTTCCACCTTTTACAAAATGATCTTACTACTTTTCTATAGCTCATTTAAGGAGTTCTGGTAGCGTAGTGGTTACGAATCGGGCTGCAAATCTCAAGGTCAGCAGTTTGAAACTACCAGCGGCTCTGTGGGAGAAAGATGAGGCTTTCTGCTCCTGTAAAGATCTACAGCCTTGGAAATCCTGTACAGGGTCGCTATGAGTCGGAACCAACTCAATGGCACACTACCACATTTCTTATTTAGTTATAAATATTTGTATTTCCTGTCTCATATAAAGGGTTTTGCTTTCGAAGGTTTTACTGTTGTAATGTGGTTATGAATTGACTAATGAAACTATTCCTTTTCTATCTATCCCCTTTTTATTTCTTTATGTGTTTATCACGGAAGACAGCCCAGTCTTCTAGAATGAACTATTTCTCTTTTGAATAACTTTATAGTAACATATTTAATTGTACGTAAATGGTAGTAATACTCCTTTCAAATTCTCCCTTGTCATCTCTGTACCTAAAAGTCTAATTACAAGAAACACCTCTTCTCTGAGAGTTGTGAGGATTCCAGTAATACCAGTGAAAGCTCTTGGACCATTAAGCCAAAAAGGAAACTGTTAAAATCATATTCTAACAGAAAAAAGAAAAGAGTCAGAAGTCAGATGAATGGTAAGTTTTGTGTGTATTTCCTTTTGAGACAGATTTGTTTTGTTTGTGGGCTGGAGATGGGTACTTCTTTCCAGTGTATTGTATGTGTTGTGTATTTTTTAATCTGCAAGTAATTGTTTTTTGGTGTGGGCTTAGAAGGTGGTCCCAAAGATAGGATCATACCATCCTCCTTCCTGCTACAAGTTCATTGAAAATGCCAAATATACAGACATGAAACTGAGAATCTAATCAAAAGGTTAAATCTAAAAACCAAAGCGCTGAAAAATTTCCATTGAGTGGAATCTGACTTGAGCCCATTTTTGCTGCCAGATTAAGTTATAGTAACAGTTGTGACCGTGATGCAGGACCTAGTAGGTATTTCACTGTGTTGCACATAGGGATAATATGAGTTGGGACTGACTCGAATGCCCCTAACAACAATAAGAATAACACACACAAAGGTGTAACTAGGAGTTCAGATGAGATTTACCTTGTATGATCTGGAATTACAAGGAAATTTTTCAAGGAAGAGGTGGGTGGAATTTGAGTTAATTTAATAAAAGAATACACTTTAAAGAGCTACGGAGATCCAGAAATATTCTAAGTTACTTAAAAATACAAAGACTATAGAGTGGTGTATGTTCATAGGAGAATATCTTGATTTATGCCTGGTTGTTGTTGATGGTTGTTGTTCCAAGGGTGTTGTGGGTGGAAGGTCTGGTAGTCTGCTTTTGTCAAGATTACACTCAGCAAAACCCTAAGGAGCTCAGTGCTACTCACTTCACAACTCTGCCATGAGTTTGAATCAACTCGACAGCAACGGCTTTGGTTTCTGGTGTTGGTGTAAAACAAGGTTGGATAATTAGAATGGGATCTTAAAAGAACACCACTTGAAGAAGCTGTAAGAAGTGGATATAGATTGACTGGGAGAGGGCACATTTTATTTCTGTGTTGGGTATACATAAACTTACCCTTTGTTTTCTTTTTCCTTAGTTCTGCCATTTTCCCTTGCCAGTAGTGCCAGTGAGCTCGAGAAAGACCAAGTAAGTCAATTTTCTTGAGGTTGAAGTTTTCCAGGTTGCACTCAGCAGGTGATTATTTCTCGAAATACATCTTGGGTAAAGATTAAGGTGTGGTGTTGCAGATCAGGTGTCGACTGCTAAGCACAGTGTTAGTGGATCAAACTCACTAACTGCTCCTTAGACACCCTGTGCAGGGGACAGCATGAGTCAGAACTAATGGACAGCATTTACCGACAACATTAATTGTTACCAAATATTGCTGTAGGGTTTTTATCATGACCAATATTAAACATCTGTGCTATTCTGATTGCACACAATGCATGGATATTTGAGTTTACATTTCACGGTTACATTTTAAAGTAGACTTGCCAAACCAATCTTTTCGTTTGTGTTGGCATGTTACAACGTTTCAAGCTCTTCATGGTTTATGCATTTAAATCCTTATTTTGCAAATCGTGGAATACCTTCTGGCTTCACAAATATTTATCCAACCATCAAGGTTTCTTAATCTACTTTCACTTTTTTTCAGGGGGGGAGGGGTCTTAGTGGCACAAAGCTTAAGTGCGACCAGTCACAGGAAAGTCAGTCAGCTAGATCCCAGCAGTCTGTCCCTGGGAGAAGAATGTGTGGTCGTCAGCTTCTGCTGTCGAGACTATCAGCCTTGGGTACCCATGTGGTACAGTCTGATGGAGTACTGTGATTTGGAATTAACTTGATGTCGATTCATTTGGATTTAGAGTGGTAGTTTTCAAACTTCTGTGGTTATCAGAATGATCAGGAACATGTTAAAAAGAGATGATTGGGTTCTGTACCCAGGGAATTTGAGTGAGTCGATTATGGGTGGCCAGGTTTCCAGGTATGACTCTTGCTGTGGTCCAGAATTTCACGTTGGGTAAAAGCGACAATGGAATTTTCATTTCAGGTAGGATGCCCTGATCTTAATTGTGGAGTTTCAAGTGCAATAAATCCAACCCTGAAACTTCTTCAAAAACAATATTGAAAATGTCTTAGAATTTATTGACAATTGGGTTTCATGTGCTTATGGCTTATTAACACTTTAAAATGTACTATTTTTAGGTTAGATCTCCAACACTATTATGGAAGGATACCTCAAGGCAAATTAAAGCCATATCTCCAAAAATTTCTGGGACAGATTTCCTTGGTAATTTTGCCTTTTTAACTCCTGTAGATGCGGATGGGCGAAATGCATGTGTGATTTTCCTGTCAATTTATGGAGAGACAATTGTATTTTTGAAAAGATCATTTAAAGCTTAGAAAATGTTTTTCTTTCAGTAACTACTGAAAAATATGTGAAGATTTGATTGTCGTCCCCCCCCCAGTTTTTCAATACCCCATTGAGAAATGATACTGTGTTTGCATTTTACTTTAATATTTGATATTAGTTTAAGCTTGAAATCCTACTTCAGTAAGAAAACTCAAAAGCTGACCTTAATCAGGAGTTGACAAACCTTTTTCTGAAAAGGGCCAGGTAGTAAATATTTAGACTTTTTGCTCCATATGGCTATTGTTGTTTGATCCACATGGTTGTTTCATGTGATAGGTGAAAGCTGGCCAAGGAAGCCAAAGGAAAGGAAGGAGAGAGAGAGAGAGGAAAAAAAAAAATATATGTATATATATGTGTTGTTGTTGTTCTGTGCCGTGGAGTCGGTTCCGACTCATAGCGACCCTGTACAGGGTTTCCGAGGCTGTAAATCTTTATGGGAGTAGAACGCCTCATCTATATATATAAAATTGGAAATAATAAAAGGGATTCTTAGAGACTGTCAAGAAACAACAATTAGAACTTGTAGAACCCTCATCCACTTGTTTAAGGAAGGGATTCAAGAAATTGATGGGAAAATGGAAATGAGAAGATAATGGGTTCTTGCTATGAATTTCTGAAGCGTCTTGTATTGGGGATCAGATGGGAAGTTAGTAAGCATTTATTGGGCTGATTTATTGAGGTGACTGGCTATTCATGTTATGTACGGATGTAGAAACCGAAAAACCACATCGACCTTAAGAGGCACAAAGTTACTGGTTTCATTTAAAGCTGTGCCTCTTTTTGGTTCTTAGTGATGAAATGTAATCTAGAGAGCCACCCTGAAATAGTCTTGCCTCAGATTGTTTGTTGGCGTGTTCACTCACCTGAAACTTGTTCTCTCAAATACTCAGAAACTCAAGGCCCCCGTCTACTTAGTGAGCTGTCTTCCTCGGAGCAGTCAGAAGGTGAAGAAAGTATATCTAAGGTACTATGTGATTATTGGTTACCGGTCTGCTTCTCCAGAATGAGAATTATATTTGTGTAATGTACAAGCTAATTACCTTTTAAGGGGGAATATATAGCATTAGTTATTATTTGTTAAAAAATACATGTATTTATGGCTGTTTATTTTGTTTTTCAGATTGCAAACCAAGAGTCATTTGTGACAAGCATCAAACAGAAGCTACAAACTTTGGAAGATAGAGGTGTGAGAGAGAATCAGAAACTTAGGTTTTTAGGAAAAACCTATGTACTTTTGCAAAGCTAAGCAGTAATTCAAACTGTAGGAGGTTTTGAATAGAGTGACAATTGCCAGGTCTCACAAAGAGAATGTTATGTGGCGTGTGCATGATGGCTGTGTCATTTTCCAGGGGTGCCGTGACAGAATACCATAGAGTCGTGGCTTGTATAAGAAGAGAAATGTGCTTTCTCACAGTTCTGGAGGCTGGATTTCCTCATCAGGAGGTCAGCCATGTTGGTTTCTCCTGAGGGCTCTGAGGGAGAACTCTTCCATGTCCCTCTGTGCGTTTCTGGTGTTTTCAGAGGTTCCTTGACCTAAAGCTATTACATCCCATGGTACCTTCTCTGTGTGCCTGCCTCTGTTTTATAAGAACACTGGTCATACAGGATTAAGACTTTCTCTACTCCAGTGTGGCATCCTGGTAGCGGATATTGTCTTTAGAGATCCTCATTCCTAACACAAGGTTATGTTATGGGGTACCAGGCACTTGGACTTCATTATGTCTCTTTAGTGGAACCATTGAATCCATAAGTAAGACAAAGAGGATAAACAGAAGACGTCACTCAGGATTCAGAATTTCTAGTTCCTTGGCGAATATATTTTGTAATAGGAATCTCCCCTCAAACAACAGCTTTCTTTGAGGGCTTGGCAGAGTAGTATACTTTGGGAACACTTTCCTTCACCTTTGTATATAGGATAAGTGAGGTTTATTATTACTGCTCGAAAAAGAAGCGTGACCAACTTATTAAAAAGTTCTGATTTCAATTTCCTCATGGTTGCAATCACCTGAACATTTGTTAACCTAGTTCACAATACTGTGAATTACTATAGAACTTCAAGACATTTTATGTTTCTATTTTTAAACATTTCCATTGTTTTGCTTGGGACTTACTCTACACTTGAATGTAGGTGAACAAAATATTAGGAATATACAATAGTCAGATTGCTTCTCTGGAGTTGTTGTTGTTGTTGTTTAGTGCCGTTAAGTCGATTCCAACCCATAATGACACTGTATAGGGTTTCCGAGGAGCAGCTGGTGAGCTTGAACCTCTGCTCGCAGTTCAAATGACTTTTCAGTGTGGCGCGTTAACTCACAGTGACACACGAGGACTCCTGGTAGTAACTCTCTGGAGTCACTACCTATTAAAAGAGCTAAGTGACATCTTAACCACCAATAAAATAGTTTTTAGTGTCCTCCAAAATTAACATTGTAGGAATTTTCAAGGAAATCACAGTATTTTATGGTTCTTTTATTTGTGACTATGTTTTTAATTATATGTCTGTCATATTAAGATAAAACGTTCAAATATAATACAAAAACACACAGAACAAAGTATATGTGGTCAGAGATTCCATAACATGTTTGAAAATGTATTTTTTTACATTCTTAATAATGTAAAATGTGCATTTGAGAGACCAACCATTGGGTAATACAACTGTATTTAGTTTTCTATTATTATCTCTTACAGAATGATCATTTCAAATTGGATTCCACAAACTAGTAATTTCAGTGCATTGACAAAATACAGAAAATATCTCATCTTTTTCATATGATTACGAATTTCTTTTTTGGGTGTTCATACCTATGAATAAATAAAAACAGTCACACCATTGAGCATCATGTTGTTGTTGTTGTTAAAGTGCCATCCAGTTGGTTCCGACCCATAACGACCCTGATATCCCTCATTCCTCGGCCTCTTCTGAATCCAGCTTGAACCTCTGAAAGTTCTCTTATCAATGTATGCTTGCAGCAGTTTCTGTATTACCTTTAGTAAAACTTTACCAGCATGGGATATGAAAGATACTGTCCAATGATACTGTTCTAGCCATGTACCGTTGCTGTTAAATCAGCCAGATGTATTCAAGCCACAGTTGATTACACTGGGGCTTGAATACATCTTTAATTGTTTAATAATCAAAGAAAACCTTGCCATACCCTCCGCCATCTTTACCATCCTTGGTATTTGCAAGTTCATTGTTGTAACCACTGTGTATTTTGAATGCTTGTCAGGTGATCGGGTCTCATCTTCCCACACTCTTTTTAAACAGTGTTAGATTTTGGTCCTTTAGGCTTTCTGAAGATCACTAGGCCTTTCTTCCTAGTCTGTCTTAGTTTGGAAGCACTACTGATGAAACTTGTTCAGTCTTGCTGCAACTCACAAGCCTTCCCTGACAGACATCTGACATGTTACTGCACATTATGGTCCAATGACTGTTGGGTACTGTCAAGCCCCTCGTTGTTGGGGTGAAATCAATTCCAAGGACTCGTAGTGACCCCAGGCACACTAGGTTTCTGGTAAGAAGACTGTTCTTGCCCAGGGAAGACTTGACATGTATCATCGATGGCCACGATATCACTTCAGAGCAAGATAAAACAAAAATGGGCCTTCACTTACGGAAACCTGACTCTTAACCCCCCAAAAGAAGATTGGCTATGTTTAGCATTCAATATTGTTTTGTCAGAGGAGCCATAATGCAGAAACATTTCATTAAAAATGTTTTATCAGATAGAAACCAATGCACCATGGATACCACACTTGTTGTTATGTGCTGTGGAGTCTGTTCCTATTCAAAGTGAACCCTGTACAGTGTTTCTGAGGCTAAATTTTTACAGGAGCAGAAAGGCTCATCTTTCTCCCATGGAACAGCTGGTAGTTTTGAACTGCTGACCATGAGGTTAGCAGCCCGATTTTTAACCAGTATGCTACGAGGGTTTCACAGTACACTCATTCAAATCTGTGCACCTCCCCTCCCCCCCCAAATTCTTCCATTCTTCTGATTGTGGAAGTCTTCCATTTTCCTTGATAAGTTTATAACTATGTTGCACTCGCAGAAGCAAATAAGGCTTCAGCAATAATGTGAGAACACTCTAGTTTAGCCTCGATGTGTTTACTGTTTTTGTTCATTTCCAAGGTGTTTTGTGTGTATATTTATATAAGGAGGTTTCAAAAAGTTCTTGCTAAAATTCTATTATCCTTGATTCCATTTTTTCAAGAATATTTTGGATAGCCCCCTCTCCCCCTGTATGTAAAAGTGCTCCCTTTCAGGGAAGATATAAAGGTACTCTAGTTACAAGAGGCATTCAGGGCCTAGAAGTCACAGTCAGCCTCTGCAGTGGCAGGACTGTGTCTTTTGTAATTACACCTGCCCCTCAGAGGATTTTGGAAAGCCCTTGGACAAGTAAAGTATTTATCATCAGCGGTGCCATTTCCAACACAGGCTCTGTGTGCCCATCTGTCTCCTGTTCCTTCATATGTGATCCATGTGGGTGATCTCTGCCTGATAGGTCTGGACATTGCAAGTAGCTCATGCAACAGGTAACTAGGTTATGATGTGGTGCTATAGGATAAGCATTAGACTGCAGAGTTGGTTTAAACTGTAAGGTCGGTCGTTTGAACTCACCAGCCAACAAAAATGACACCAGGGTATTTGTACAGCATTTTGGAAACCGCTCTCTCTGTTGGATGTCATAGAGTTTATGTTAGCAGATGCCTGATTGCCGCTAGGGGGTACAGGAATGTGATGCATGGATATTTGAACATGAGTGGTATTGCTACAAATTTATTTCTGTTTTTTACAAAAAAGAATCGTTTCCAGAAGCCACAGAATAGCAGCAGGGAATAAAATGTAGTATTTACTCGTCAGTTCATCATTGGGGTAGTTGGAATTTTTAAGAAGTACCTTTCAATCTTGACTGGCATATATATCTATATCTGTATCTATCTATCTGTATCTATCTATATCTATATATCTATATCTATATATATAGTGAAAGTAGACTGAGTTCTGCTTGCTTTGTGGGCTAGAAGTGAAGGCTGAGTTGTGTAACTGAATTCTATCTTAATTAAAAGTAAATATTTTTTTTCCATCTTTGAAACAATGCACCCTATGAAATTTCTGTCCAAAGTTCGAGTGAATTATCTCACCTAGATCTAATGGAATTAGCAGAAACAGAGTCTTGTAAGATAAAATAGAATTCCTGGAGTATGGCAATTCATATCTACTCAGGTACCTAGGAAGAAAGGGTTGGCAATCTATTTCTGAAAAAAAAAAAAATCAACCATAGAAAATTGTGGATCACACTTCTCCTCTGGCACATGTTTGATAAGGTGTATCTCTCTTGGTTGAAAATGCTTTTTATTTTTATATTATTTGATTAGGAAGTTGCTGAGTGGATGTTGAGCAGTCTCTTCAGAGGAAGAATGTAGTCTTTAATGAAGTTGTTGTCTTATTTAAATTGCATTATAGCAAAAGCATTCAGGATGACCTATAGTAGAGTCATTTTATTTATATTGTTGGTATTTCCAGAAGTGGTTCTGGAATATAGTATCTCTTAATTTTGTACTTTTTAAAATACATACAAGTTTCCACAGTGATATTGAAGGAGCCTTTGGAGTGTAGTGGGTTCTAAGTTGGCCTGCTATCTGAGAGGTCAGCATTTCAAATCTTCCAGCTGCTTCTGAGGAGCAAGATGAGGCGTCTGCTTCTGTAAAGATTTACAACGTTCATAACTAACAAGATCACATGAGTCAGAACCGATTCCCCGGCACACAGCCACCACCACCTCCACCACCACCAGAGTGACAGTGATGCTTTGTGATTCATAGCTTTTTCCTGAAGACTTGTGCTGTCCTACAGAGCACAAAGTAATTCTAGCTTTCATTATCGACGTTTCATAATTTCAGAAGCAAAATCATCCCTGTTTTCTTTTTATTACCTTGAAGCTTGTGAGTAGTACTTCATATGCTGATACTATGTCTGCAAATTAATATTTTCACTGTTGTTATGTTCCATGGAGTCGGTTCTGTCTCATAACGACCCTGTACAGGGTTTCTGAGGCTGTAAATCTTTACAGGAGCAGAAAACGTCATCTTTCTCCCTCAGAGCGGTTGGTAGTTTCAAACTGCTGACCTTGCGGTTTTCAGCCTAATTTGTAACCACCATGCTACCAGAGCTCCTTTCATAGTTTTTCATAGCTCTTTATAAAGGTGGAGTTACGTTCCTATAACGCTGCTGCTGTTGCTCCATGTCATTGAGTCGGATCACACTCCTAGTGACCCTGACGTGGTTTCTGAGAATGTAAATATTTACAGTAATAGAAAACCTCATCTTTTTCCCATGAAGCAACTTGTGAAATCAAGCTGTTTAGTTTGCTGTTAGCAGCCCAATGTGTAATCCACTCTGCTACCCCAGCGCCTTCTTACAATGCTAGTTTATTAATTTCACTTAGCTATTAGGAGTCCTGGGGTGGCACTGTAGGATAAGCACTAGACTGTTGACATAAATGTCTGGGGTTGAAACCCACCAGCCACTCTCAGAAATACTATACAGGATCACTATGAGTCAAAATTGACTTTGATGACATAACCACAAAGATTTATTGGAAAGTGTCCTTTTCTGTGTACCTTTTCACACAAAGTAAAATACAATTTATTAAATTAAAAAAATACCAGTTCTGTGGAGCACATTTGCACTCCGAGACATAAGGGGTCATTGTCTGAATTACCATAGGGTCAACTGGCTTATGCTGTCAAGGATGGGGGACCATTGATAATATTAGAAGAATAGGAACATTAAGAGAACTCTAGATTGAAATGGGAGTATGCATTTAAACTTAAGAATTATGGTTCTCAAAATGACTTTAGTGAATGAATATCCAAGTTGCTCTCAGCTCAATGGTGCCTTCTTCCCCTGAGTGAAACTCAGTGTTGGTCCCTGTCGGTCCATGAGAAGTGGGAACCTGCCAGCAGGTGGCACACTCGGGATAAACTTGTAAGCTTCAAGAATCCTGACCACCAAGCCAGCTAGCACAAAACCCTCTAAATGTTGCGTTTAAAGCCAGTGTTCTGCTTTTCTGGCCTTGGCGTAGTGTTGCTAAATGTGAGAGAGCTTATCAAAGGGGGAACCTTCTCCCGTGTGCTCTCTCTCAGGCATCAGTACACCCAGGGCTTTGATAAATTCTATGGTTCTTGATCAAAGTGCCAAGTGATTAGTTCGAAACCCGTTTCTGTTGATGCTCATCAAGGTTAGCTATTAACTGGTGAAAAGACAACTGTGGAGGAAGAAGGAAAGGTGTGTGATGTCACTCATGAGCTCTCTTTGCCTTTAGAATTCTCAGATGGTGGTTCTGTGATGTCAAAACAATCTAAATTGGAAGGGGACGATGCTCCGGGAATCCTTTCTTCAACGAGGGATGAAACGGATTTGCCAGGTACGGTTGTTCCCCCAGACAGCAGTGTACAAGGAGGAGCTTGGTAAAGGTACCAGCCCAGAGTGCACCAGTGAAAATCAAAAGCACCGAACGGAGCAATGAGGATTCAAAGTGAGTCACAAATTTAGATTGGAAAAGCAACAGGATGATAAAAAGTAGTAAGCATTGAGTCCTTTCACAGATAAATATATTTTTGCATAAGTTACAGATGAGTACAACTTTCATCTCCTAAGATTGTGTTTTCTGCCTCTTTAATTCTTTTTATGATAGTCTTCGTATTCTGAGGGTCTTTCAGTGGCGGGTCTTTGATTTAGTTTAATGTTATGAATTTATTTTTTTAATTTTTGGCAACTCAAATACTTTAAATTTTTAAAAACTATCTTTGAACATAAGAATTCGAGTGTGACTACCAGCCCCACTCAAACAATATTTTTAAGGTCTACTGGTTTATTCCCACAATGTTGCAAATTGTCTAAATCACCTAGAACAGTGCAGTCGGGTTAAAATCCTATAAGAAAAATAAAACCATAGTAACAATTTTTGACCCAAACCCATAGTATTGAATTGGGCATTTAGCTTTCTCCAGCTACACATGATACATTGTTGTTTTTTCATCTGCCATCAAGTCCACTAAGACTCAAAGCAGCTTTGCACAACAGAATGAAACATTACCCAGTCCTGAATCTTCCTCACAATTATTGTTACGTTTGAGGCCAATGTTGCATCCCAGTGTCAGTCTGTTTACTTGAGGATCTTTCTCTTTTGCCCTGATCCTCAACATTATCAGGCACAATGTCCTTCCCCAAGGCCTCGTCCCTCCAGACAACACATCCAAAATATGAGAAGACTGAGTCTCACCATCCTCACTCCTATGATACTTCTTCCAGACAGATTTGTTTGTTGTTCTGGCAATTCACGGAACTTTCAATGTACTTGTTGTTGTTGTTGTTAAGTGCCATCGAGTCGGTTCCGACCCATAGCGACCCTGTACAGGGTTTCCGAGGGTGTAAATCCTTACGGGAGTAGAAAGCCTCATCTTTCTCCCACGGAGCAGCTGGTAGTTTCGAACCGCTGACCTTAAGGTTTGCAGCCCGATTCGTAACCACTACGCTACCAGAGCTCCTTTTTTCAATGTACTTAGCCAATACCAAAATCCAAATAAGGAGTCCTGGTGTGGTTCTGTGGGTAAATGCGCCAGACTGCAAGGTCGGTGGTTCAAATTCACCAGCTGCTCCTTGGAAACCCTATACATGGTCGCTGTGGGTTGGAATTGACTTGACAACACTTAACAACAATACTCCAAGAGCATCAATTCTTCTCCAGCCTTGCTTATTCATTGTCTAATTTTCACATGCATATGAAGGCTACTGAAAATACCATGGCTTAGGGCACTTTAAAATGGGGTCTTCTGTAGTTGATTTGCCTAATGCATTATCTATATTGAATTCGTGACTGCTGCCTCCTTAACTGTTGTTTGTAGACCCAAGCCAAATGAAGTCTTTGATAACTTCAGTCTTTTCTCCATTTATCATGATGTTACTTATTGGCCCAATTGTGAGGATTTTCACTTTCCTTACATTGAGGTGCAATCCATACTGAAGGCTGTAGTCTTTGACCTTCATCAGTTAAGTATTTCAAATACTCTTTGCTTACAGCAAGCAAAGTTTTGTCGTCTGTATATTGAAGATTTTTAATGAGTCTTCCTCCAATCTTGATGCCATGTTCTTCAAGTAATTCAGCTTTTCGGATTATCTGCTCAGCATACAGATCGAAAAGTATGGTGAAGGAATACAACCGTGGCACACAGCTTTTCCGATTTTAAAACATGGACTCATTTTTTGTGGTAGGAATATACTACGTATGCCATTGAATAAGAAGGGCCTTGAAATACTTTTATTCATGGGGTTGGCCTTCTGAATGAAAGGTGTCAGCATGTTTTGAAACAGGGGGCTCCGAAAAGGCACATTTCACATTGGAGGCTGTGGTGGCCTGGGCTAGAGGTTCCCATCCTGGAGCTGTTGATGTGATACCATGTACATTATGCATTCTCTCTGTTAACTGTGGGGAGATCAGTGCCTGCATCACAGAGTTTTTGTGGAGATTGCTACCCCTCATGTCCTCCTGAAATCCTCTTACAA